TCTGAGGGTGTAAGCTTCGAACATGGGGAGGAGAAGTAAGTAGGCTTAGACCAGGGGGTTTGGCATTTGGTTATTTCCAAATTTAGATAGAACCATTTCTATCTAAATGAAGACAGGCTTGCAGAAATCCTGAACTGGGATTTTATTTTACTGTCCCAGGAAAGAGATGAGAACTCACTAAACAAGGGACCATGGAGATGGCTTAGTTGGTAAAGTGAGTACTGTGCAGGCACAAGGTAATGAGTTCAGATATCTAGCACCCATGTAAAAAGCCAGGAAACTGTGTCCCTGTAATGCCAGTGCTGGGGAACATACCCAGTCTGTTAGATTGGCCTATAAGCATCTATGTGGGGCATTCGCTTGATCAATGATTGATGTGGGAGGATCTAGCTCATTGTGGGTGGTGCCACTCCTGCGTAGGTAGTTCTGAGGGTGTATAAGAAAGCAGATTGAGCAAACCATGGCGAGCAAGCTGTAAGCAGCACCCTCCATGGCCTCTGCTCCAAGTTTCTGCTTGTTGTACCCCTGCCCTGGCTTCCCTTGATGACAGGCTGAAACCTGTAAGTCATGTAAGTCCTTCCCTCTCCCCAACTGCTTTTGGTCAGTGTTTTATCAAAGCAACAGAGAAGCAAAGTAGGGCACTTACAAATACCAGAATGACTTCCCGAACAGAATGTTTTAGAGTTTGCACATCTTTCAAGCCAGATGCTGCTTTTTCTGCTTGCTTCCAAATGTGCTGTTCTTTTCTTGCAGCTGGGTGGCATATGATGAAAAGGAAAGATGTTGACAACCCTCTTTTCAACGGTAAATGAACGATTTAAATATTGGCCTAAGGGATACCTTCACGACCATCTACACTATGGCTTCTTCATCATTCAGCTCTATGCTTGGATATAAAGACTGATAATGAACCTGGATATCTCACAGACTGTATGTCCTCATTTTTAATATACACCTGAATCACTTAGGGTCTTGTTAAAATGCAAGTTCTGATTCAGTTGGTCTCCGCTGGGCCCCAAGATGCTACAGTCCTGACTAGCTACCGATTGATGCTGATGCTGCCAATCCTTGGATCACATTTTGAGTAGTAAGGAGCTGGACAGTTTCCCACTGTAGAAAGACACCTTCAGAAGGCAGTTTGCATGAATGGCTGATGGAAATCTCTGATGACTCCACAAATAAGAGCACAAAAAGGGGGGGGGGAGATCATTTAATGACATGTCAAAAATGTGATACAGATAAACAGTGAGGTTAGAGTACATGAAATAATAATTCCATTTATTATGAAACAGGTACAGAGAATAGCCATTACATAGGAGACTATAGGACAGCAGCCTGCGAGCGAGTTGGCTAGAAGTCTCTTTACTGTACGCACCTTGTATGGGAGGAGAAGCTGTTGCAGTTGGGTAACGTCCCTATTTATATTATATATGCCTGCTGCTTACTCAGAACAAGGCAATTCTACTGAGTGATGAGAGTGTGAAATTCATTAACATTCTGGCCTGGGACTGACTCCTTGAGGAGAAAATAATCTGATTTCTCAATGAATGTATCAAAGATGACAGGGAAAGGTGATTTTTAGATGCATATCTATTAACCCCCGAGGATGCATCTATTGCTCTACTTATAAAGTGTTTCTGTTTTCCCTCCAAAGGTCTAACAAACTCCAAACACTGCCTTGTGGGGCCAGATCTGCTAGTTCAGGTTTCCTTTTTTTACAGTGCAGCAGATACCACATCGTCTGTGACACTGATTGGGTTCCGTTCAGCAAAGATACCTCACATGTTGAAACTTCGGGGTTCATTTCTAAAGACAACACACTGCTCTGGCTTTAGTGTAATGAAGTCTCTGGGCCATGCTTCTAAACACACACGCGCCAAAGCAACCCTTGTCTCTAACATTATAGCCCCTTAGGAGTAAAACACAGGTAGTAACCAAGATTCGTCATGCACCGTTTATTCTACTTTCTTGGAATGGAGCCTCAAGGCCAAGGGCTGCTGTTGAACTTACATCCCACCCTTTCACACACAAGCCAGACCCTGGCTCACTCCTCCCTGAGCCCCTGAGAGACAGGCTAAGACCCTGGTGGCTGAGCAGAGAGCTTGGTGTTCTGATTACTTTTCTGTTTATTACTAACCATGGAAGCACCATGAATTCTATTGTTTTAATCTTACATTTCTGCACTTACAGCGTTTGTGCATATTAATATAATCCTTGTATTTAGGGATAGCTTTGTGAATGTGAACCAATACCACCTGTATACCTGAGCACAAGTATTCTAGAGTTAGCCTTACCAAGGGTTAGCTCACAAGACTTTCAAGATTATTTATTTATGCCCGTTTCTTGGTGAGTTTTCCTTGACTTTCTGTTCTGCAGAACCAGAGGAAGTGGAAGGTTTCTACCATACCGTGCTGTCAAAACTGCAAAGAGCAGCTGTAGACCTCCACTTGGGGCAGACTTCCTTGCATTACCACAGGGTTTGCCATGGCTGCCTATGACATGCTCTTGACACTCCAGGTGCCGTCCTCTTGATGCTGGGCAGAAGTGAACTCCCCTGAGAGTGAGCAAGCCTGTGGTTTGCCCTGCATTTAGTTGTAACTTCCTTTCTGTTCTGTAAAGGTTTCTTTTCTTGAAGGGATTATCTTCCTTTGTAAGCAACTCAGTTTTCCTGATCTCTTTTCCTTTCTGTTTCTGCTATTCCAGAGAAGATACTGTTTCCGTAATACAAGTTCTTGGGAAACCTTCTCACTGAAGTTGGAGACTACCAAGAGGGTAGTCGGCCATCTGTAGCTCTGGTGTCTGAACAAGGATAGATTTCAAAACAACGTAGAACTTGTCAGACAATAATGTCAAGCATGACACCAAATATATCTTCAAAGCAAAAACCCAACTTCAAGTTTTCATCACATTGGTCTCAGGAGTGTTTGATCAGTGAATGTCACCTGGTTTCTGTGAATTCTTTCTGAGGCAGAGTGTTACTGTGTAGCCCAGGCTGGACTTGAATTCCTCCTGCCTCAGCTTTCGAGTGCTGGAATTATATGTGTGCACCACAATTCCTAGTTCTATTATACGTCATTTAAAGAGGCTTGCCTCAATTAGAGATGTCTCCTTCAAGATGCTGAATCCCCTAAGGTTGTTGTTCATAGGAACTTAGACCTCAAGTAACAACATTTTTGTTGGAGTCACATTCTGGGATTAGTATTTATTTATTTATTTATTTATTTATTTATTTATTTATGTGTTTATTTATTTTGAGACAGGGTCTTCCTATGTAGCTTGGCTGGATGGGAACTTGCCCTGTAGACCAGGCTGGCCTTAAACTGACTGAAATCCTTGTACCTCTGCCTCCTAAGTGCAGGAATCACAGATATGAGCTACCATGCCTAGCTTACATTTCTTTTTATTTCCTCCCCAAAATTGTAGGTGTAGTTGTGATTGTTTTCTTTCTGTTTCCTTGTTGAAGGTGCAATGAGAACTATGGATGGCTACATCCATTTGACAGTGCTTCTACAAACCAGAAGTCTCCCCAATAATTCTTCATATATTGTAATCATACATATTCTCCTCAAGTTCACAGGACCAAAACCCACTTCCTATTGGAAGTGCAAAGCACGGGTTTTGATTTTGCTCTTTTGTAATTCCTAGTTCAGGTTGTGGTAGGTAATTAATGACCTCCATAGCTGTTCTTAGAACATAACATTTCTTGGAAGAAGTCAGCCCAGATTTCTTACTATGGACTTGGCTTTGACTTGTGCTCTTGCTTAAGCTGTCTGTCAACTCTATTGAACAATCAACCATCGAATCCGGGGAAAAAAAAATCTGTCAAACTAGCTACTTAATTACATGGCAGTTTTCTCTGGATTGCAGGCGTATTGGTGAGAAGATCACATTCTCATCACTTTACCATACCTTACCAGTGTGGTGATTTACTACTTTGTCTCTAGGAGCTTAACTACATGAAATCAAGCATTTACAATGTGGCTGAAAGCTGCAAGAGAAACAAACGTGACTCTACTGATCTGCAAGCAGAACTCCAACTTGATCTGGGTGATAACAAGTAAACTATAGTGCAGGGCTGCCGGAGCTGGGTGGGAAGCAGATGCTAGGATTTGCCTCAGCTCTGCAGAGTATCACTCTCAGTTGGTCCCAGCCAAGCATCTCACCTGGATATTGAGGGAATGTGTTACAGGTTCTGAAGTTTTTTTTCTATCCTCACATGTCAGTTGCCATGTGTTGGTTTTGGACTATTAGAAAATCTTTCTTTTGATTTCCATGACTCTTTTTGTTTCTAATTCTCAGGACAGTTGTTACTCAACCTTGGGGCAGCAGACATTTTTTTTGTGAAACAAATTAGATCCTGCAATAGAAATCTCATTGGTCCATTATGAAGGCGAAGGCTTGGAGAGTGATTTGCACATATTTGGGAACTTCTCCCTGGTAGAGCCAACACATTACTTTCAGTTTTTCCTCCACAACAAGTGAGGAACAGACCCCTAGCAAGATGTAACTATGCCATACTGTAGCAAAATTGACTCACAGCACTAATGACATTACAGGTCTATACACCCTTCACTGAGCTGAAGGTAAATGGTAGCCTCCACAGCATTATGGCGAATGCCTATTTGATTTCTGTGTACGAAAGCAAATAGTTCTTGTTTCTCTAGATGGCAAGCTTTGGCTTACAGAACTCCTGTTCCCTTTTAGGTGGTGTGTGTGTGTGTATGCATGCATGTATGTATGTTATACATGTATGTGTGTGTTGCAAAAAATTCATTGCCATCATATGGGAGAGAAGCAGAGCAGTACTGACGTGCAGAGGAAGCAAAAATACATTTTAGAAATTCTAAACAACAAACAATGAAAATCCCCAAAGACTGAAGGGTGTTATGGAAGATCTTAAGAAGAACTATATCATACAATTGTTTTCTGTGGTTCCTCTATGAGCAGAAAAGACTAGAAAGATTGGAATGTTTTCCCCAACAAATGGAGCTTCAATCTAGAAAAGTGAAATAATTTTTTTTATTGCTAATATATGATTTGCTGATGCAATAAAGAAAAAAAAAGATAAATCAGCTTCCCTGGGTAATTCCAGGACATGTGTAAGCAAATAAGATTAATCGGTTCCAATCACAGCCCCTATAAAACACAGAGTCCCTGGCTGGTTGGAATTGTCAAGTGGAAAGGTTCAGGATTTTTCACAGGGAGCTCTTCCTGCTCAGGGCCAAACTTCCCATTGGGTGCAGTGCCTCAGCCTGGAATGGGATTTACTTAACTCCATCCTCCAAAGACATTTGGGAAAAGGAGTTAAGGAAAGAGGGAGGGAGGCAATGATTTTCATATTGGCCACAACTGGAAACCATCCTGAATTGAAGCTTAATACCGAGCAAGCACTTTCAGCTGAAGTGAGTAGAAAAGTTAAGGCACGCTGACCCTAAGGATTCTGGGAACACTTATTTTTCATGTCTGGTGTTCAGAAAGACCTCCTCCTTTCTTTTAAGGTCTTTTGTGAGTGGGGAACACAGGGATTGGGGCACAGGAGAGAGTGTGACTGGATGACTGGAGGGAAGTCACAGGCCTCCTGTGAGGGGTGGGGCAGGCCCACTCTGCTGGATCAGGAAGGCAGTTTTTGCCTTAACCTTGTCCTGACTAATTCAGATGAAAAGCAGAGATCTCTTTGTTTCTTCAAAGACAGTCCATTTTCCGTTTGAATGACAGTAGAAGTTTGCAAGAGCAGGCCCCCTAGCACCTGAAGCATTTGGAGGATGAATCTTTGGCAAAATTGGGGACGCTGTAATAATTCACAGGATGTTTTCTTTCAAAAAGGCTAAAAAATATAGGTCTGTATGCTTATGAAAGTTGTAGATTTTTTTTTGTAATTAGGCATTCAGAGGTACATATCGGCTCTAAGAATATTGGCAAAGAGCCACTGTCAATAGGAGTGAGCATAATCCAGCTTGTCTTTTAACTATTTTGATATGGATTTGTGAGGCTCAAGTGATTGAACATCAGGACACTGCAATAGAAACCAATTTTAAGACACTTGGCTGACACAACTTTCTCCAGAAAAATGTTGGTATTGTACTCCCAAGTTTGGCAAAGAAGTAAGGCCACCAGGGCAGGACAGAGTGCTTGTTTTTCCTGCCATGACTTCCTGTCCATTCCCATCCATGGAAGGGGAGGTGTGAAATACAGGATGATCATGACTTGCTTCCAACACCTCTCCAGCACACTGTCTGAACGTTGTTCAGCATCCTCCATGCGCAGTGTGGATGCTCTGGCCTGGGGATGTGGCAGTGGCTGGCAGATGCTGAGCTGGAAAGCTGGCAGGGCACAGGGACAGGCCTCAGGATGCAGGAGTTCCTTTCTGGTCATGCCCTCCCTTTTGGCTGGAGTAGGGTCACAGAAACTGGCTGCTTTTCATATCCTTGGATGGCAGGGAGACGGGTCTCAGGCACCTTCAGATGATTGCACAGCAGCCGTGGCACTCTGAGCAGCCTTTCTTTTTTTTCTTGGGGTGGAAAATAGTGAGGATGGCTTCATCAAAAACCGCTTTGAGCCCCTTCTGAGTCAGAGCAGAACATTCCAAGTAGCACTGTGCGCCGATCTTAAACACAAAGAAAGAGTCATGAGTGTTAGCCCTCTGCCTTGCCAGGTCTCCAGGTCAGCCTGGTCCAGTGTCCTTTTGTTGTATATGGGGTGTAGCTGTGACAGTGGAATGAAGACATGTCCCTGGGCCTACAGAGCACGCCAGAGGTGTGGCCAGCATCATAGATTATTCTTGATTGCTATGTGTCTCTTGGCAATGAAATACCTGTTTGCTATTATTACTCAATATCAATATTTTTTGGAAAACAAGTTTTCAGTTGAAACACTAAAACATGAAGACATAAAAATCATAGAAGACATTTGATGAGACACCTTTCTTCACTGTACAGTCTTTATGTTTAAGTGGTATGTATCTTGTACTAGGTTAGTGGTTTATTTTGAATAGCAATTATTAAAAATAAATAACAACAACAATAATAGTAATAATATGTGTATAGGCATTTTGCCTGCATGTTATGGCTGTGCACATACAGTGCCAATGGGGGCCTGAAGAGGGCACCAGATCCTCTGGAACTAGAGCTACAGATAGTTGCTGGTGCTGGAAATTGAACCCAGGTCCTCTGGAAGAGCAGCCAGTGCTGTTAACTGCTGAGCCAACCTTCCAGCCCCTTGAAGATTAAAAAGGAGTTATTTCATACTATGGGATATTTGAGAACCATAAAATCCTCATGAGAAACACAGAAATCCAGGCCAGAAACTGTTGGTTCTCATTAAGAAAATCACTGGCCAGGAAGGGTGTGTCTGGCTGTCAGCTTTGATGACGGAGGCCTGGGTGTTCACATCTCATAAGCTCACATGAGCCAAGTATGTGCTGAGGGCCTCTGAATATTAAGAACATCTGGAGAAAAACCTTTGTGTGTGTGTGTGTGTGTGTGTGTGTGTGTGTGTGTGTGTGTGTGGTTTTCCATTAGGGAACTAACTTTGAAAGAAGCAGAGCGGCTGCAGAAGAGGTTTGCTGGACATTGAACTTGGGGACTATGGCAGACGAACTGGAGAAACAGGGTAGCCAAAGCACTATTGTATTACAGCCGGGAGTTTGTAGAGATGTGCATGTGGCTTCACAGGGACCAGGAGGAGGGGGCTGTAATTGTGTCCCCACAAAATGGGTGAACTCCTCGACTTCCACAAGGCCACTCTGGGTCATGGCTGTTCACTTTCCTATTTTTCTAGAGAGCTGGAGGCGGAGAGTTTTAGTTAATGTACACACTTGTGGGTCAGTCGGGACACAGATGTTGGATGCATTTGCCTTTTGCCTGTCACCAGGAAGTTTGCATAATGTGGAGTGAAGAAAAACTCGAGGTTTATCTTAGGCAGGAATGGATGCAGCCCGAGCAAGGCAAAATAACCACTCAACAAGAAAGAGAACTATATAAAAATCTCTGTCTCTTGAAGTGTGTGTGAGTGTGTGTGTGTGTCTGGGTATGTGTCTGTGCGTATGTCTGTGTGTGTATGTATCTGTGTGACTATGTGTGTGTGTGTATCTGTGTGTTGTGATGGAAAAATTAATAACTAAAAGGTATAAAATTAGGGCTTATGGCAAGAAGGGAAAACTAGAGAGAACAAGAATTTCTGCCAGTAGATAACTCCTAACTACAGAGTAAAGAGCTCACATGCTGTTCTCAGGAGATAAAGAAGAAAGCCAGAGCCCACCACCAGCATCCTCCCTGCCCCATTATCTCGAGAACAAGGCCACTGAGCCTGCTGACCTTGTAAAGAAACTTTGTACTCTATGAAATGTCTGTAACCTTGGAAACTTTGTGAACTGAGACTAGCGGTCTCCTCTCCCTTTCTCCTTTTAAAAACACTTCGCAACTGTCAGTAGGCTCCTTACTCTTCCGATAGAGTGAGGTCCCAGCCGGTTTGGTTCTTAGCAATAAAAACCTTTTGCTTTTGCAGTCAGGAGTCACTTCCTTGAAGGTTGAGGAAACCCGGTAGGCACAACATGTGTGTATCTCTGTATGTGTATGTATCTCTCTCTGTGTGTGTGTATGTGTATCTGTTTATCTCTCTCTGTGTATCTGTGTGTGTGTGTATGTGTGTGTGTGTATCTGTGTGTGTGTATGTATGTATGTGTGTGTATGTGGATCTGTGTGTGTGTATGTGTGTGTGTGTATGTGTATCTGTGTGTTTGTATGTGTGTGTGTATGTATGTGTGTGCATCTGTGTGTGTATGTGTATCTGTGTGTGTATGTATGTGTGTGTATGTGTGTATGTATGTGTGTGTGTATGTGTATCTGTGTGTGTATATGTATGTATGTGTGTATGTGTATCTGTGTGTGTATATATATGTGTGTGTGTATCTGTGTGTGTATGTATGTATGTGTGTGTATCTGTGTGTGTGTATATATATGTGTGTGTATGTGTATCTGTGTGTATGTATGTGTGTGTGTATGTGTGTATATATGTATGTGTGTGTATCTCTGTGTGTGTGTGTGTGTGTGTGTGTGTATGTATGTATGTGTGTTTATGTATGCCTGTGTGAGAAGGATACCACTTGTCTTGCTCTATCACTCTCTGTAATGTTCCCTCAAGACAGGGTCTCTCACTCAACCTGGACCTGGCCGGTGAACTCCTGGGATCTACCTGTCTCTGTTCCAAATGCTAGGGTCATTGGTCCAAGTGGCCACACCTGGCTTCTATGTGGGTGCTGGGATTTAAATTCATGTGTAACTCATATGTCTGTATATAGCAAGTGCTTTTACATGATGGGCCATCTTCTCAGCCCTCAAGGTGTGCTGGTTTTCTTATTCTATGAGCTTCTATGACCCCCTATTCCCCAACCCAGGAACAAGTTGGCTGAGCTGACAATCACTGCAATGGGATTGTTGAAAATGTCACAGATACAAAGACTCAGTATGAAATAAAACTGCTTTGGATAGGTCCAGAAATTTATTTCAAAACTCTTCCTGCAGACGGCATGTACTATTTTGTTATGTGTTCTTTTCTGACAAGAATGGCTGTTTTATAAGTCAATGGGAAATGCCAAAAGCAGGGAATTGAAACCATCAGTGCCTGTTGGAAGCCCACTTTATGGATTTTGTTTTGGCAATGGCTTGACCTTTAGATTAGAAACAAGTTAAAAATTATTAAAAACAGGATATGAGACAGAGGAAAAATAGGGTAGAGGAATTTCTTTTTTCAAACAATTATGTGAAATGTCATCTGCTGCCTTTGGGGGTGGTATCCAAGCTTGATATGCACACATGTAAAAAGTACAATGAGTATATGATTAACTGAATGGCCACTTGCCTGTAATGTGATGATGCTTGTCAGTTATGTTAGGGAACAACAATAACAAAATAATTGTTGTAATTGGATGACCTTTCCACTAATGATTCCAAATCTCAAGACTGATTCTGAAAATTTTGGGAGTTTGGCTGACTCATTCATTATTCCAGGACCCTGAGAGATGAGTGGGGTTTACTGTCTTCCTTCCTACAACACTGCCAACTGACAGCGTATTAGTTTATTAACCTGTCAGCTTGTGCCTCTAAATGACGGAGGAGCCCAACCATTTCTCTCCCAGTTCTTACATAGGGGGAGATAACGAGACTGTCCATAGAGGCCTTGTTGTGTGTGGAGGTTAACACAATGTTACGGTGTGCTGATAGTTCCAGGAAAAGTAGCCAGCAGATTTTGGGTGTGACCTGGGATGTACGTGTGAGAAACAGAGCCCAGTTGTGAGATGATGATTTGTTGCCGTGGTCTACGTGCTCAGAAGGCCAGAGAGGAACATTTGTCCTGGTTCAGGGAAAGGGCATAGACATGTTGGAAAGAATGCTCAAAAATTCTTTAAGGCCACCAAAGACTGAAATGGAAAATTGTGTCAAAGAGACACAGCTCTGCTTGTTCACATCGGCACCCTTTCCTGGTTCTTGGAGCAAATTGACCCACACAGTCAAGTACTTAGGATCCATCTGCAGAAGTCAGAGACTCCTGGTTTTGACACACACGTGAGCAATCTGAAGCAGCAGGCTTTACCAAACTGACACATTTCAAGGAAATGAAACAAGACAAAACAAAGGAGAGCTTGAGGTTGCAAACAGAACACCTTTCTGATACTTAAAGGTGCATTGTTTCTAGCGCTGGGAAACATGCCAGAAAGACAGAACACACAAGATCTGATGGGAGGAAATGAAAACAAATCAACGTGTAACATGATTAATCAAGTGAAATGGCAAGCTAGCACTTTTTCTTATCCTTTCCTCTGACTGGAGAGGGACATGCTGAAGAGGCATAGAAATAACTAGAAGGGTGGGGGTTGGAATCTAGCTGGCAGCATTCTTGCCCAGGATGTACAAAGCCTGGATTTTGGTTCCCGGATCTGCATAAAATCAGATGTGTCACCAGCCAAGAGAGAAAGGTAGAGGATAAGGTCATCCTCAGGTATATATTGAGTTCAGGGCCAATCTGGGCTACTTGAGAGCCTTCTGGAAACAAACAAACAAACCTAGTAGCTGGAAGGAACAGAGACAAATGTCTTCCCAACTGCCGGCAAGTCTAAGTGGCAAGGTGGCCAATGGGGACAGTTTGCTGGGTCTAAGGAGCCACCAGAGACAGTTGTGAGCCAAAGCTCATGGTCTTTTTTAACTCATTGTAGTGGCCAGGATCCTAAGGAGGTAAGACTCTTGCCAGTTCACTTACAGGCCAGAGATGAGGATTTGCTGTCTCCTAAACCAAGGGCTGCATTACAAAGCTCCGCTGTCACTTGCAGTCTATGGAAAAGGAGCCCCACACTAAGGACATTCTTTGCAGGCTCTAGGAGGGAGCCAAAGAGCACTGTGGCTGGAGCAGGGTTCATCTCACAACCTCTCTCTGTCACTTGCCTTTCAAAGCCTCAGTTTCCTCTGGTAATACATACACTTCAGGAGGCACTTGGAGCAAGCCTGTGACACACCCAGGATCAACACTGTGTAAATGCTAGCTATTATTAAAAAAGTACTTGACAGCAATCAAAGACTGAGGAAACTGAAGACATTTCTGTAATTGCGTGAATTGTCACGGAACCCGTTGAAGTCTCGCTTGGCTTTCTTTTAGGCTGGGTTTTGCAGGCTCCACATGATTGCGAACCTGAGCAGTCACTAGGAGAGGCTGGCAAAATGTAACCAAGTGGTGAACTCATCCGCTGTTCTGAAAGTAAATCTGACATGAACTGGGAGGCTTTGGAGGGGGAAAAACCGAAACCCAACACCAAAAGCCAACTTTCCAAATGAGGAGTGAGGCTGGGGAGCCACCAGGATGGAGCTGAGGACAGTCCCAGAGACAAGGAAGAGAGAGAGCAAGCTACTGCAGAAGCAGTGGAGCCTTCTGCCAGGAGCCACACACAGTTACACACATTAACATTAGTGAGAGCATCTGGGGCTGAGTGTTGGAGTAGAACCTCAGACCCACTCACTTCCCCAACACACACACACACACACACACATGAACGCACACATGCACATATACGTGCACACGCACACATACATTGGAAAAGAGACAATGGGCATTATGGTCATGTGTGCAGGTGGTGATGTGCACACAGCTGGATGCACACACAGCTGGATTCTAACGTGCCTGCCAATTAGACCTGCTTGTCTCCCCAGGGCTGTTTCTTGTCCTCTAAGAGGCTTGGCGTCTCAACATCTCTTCGAATGGCTTGTGCTTGTTATACTGACAGAGCTGTGGTGGAAGTAGAAAGAGTTCAATTCAAGTGTGTGTGTGTGTGTGTGTGTGTGTGTGTGTGTGTGTGAGAGAGAGAGAGAGAGAGAGAGAGACATCTTTATGTACTGGGCCCCCTAAAACATCAGAGTTAATTCACTTCTAGCAAAGGTGTCATATTACATTTGGTAACAAGTTTTAATAAGAGAAATGCCTTTTTCTTTTTACAAAGGAGTCATTTGTAGTTAACATTACTTTTGACTGGTTTTGAGAAGGTGACTAACTGCCTGGGGGCAAGCATTTTGCAGGGTTAGTTACTCAGAAACTAAAACATTAAAAATTTAAAGTCTCCCACTTGGGTCCATGGATTGGTGACTAAATCAAGGAGGAAGCGATTTCACATTACATAAATCTCTAGGTCTCCTTCTGCAGAAAGAATGTTCGTGCACATGTGTCCCTTTTAGTGGCTGCCTTGCACACAACATGGTGGTGGCAGGGAGGCAAAGATTTGGAGTCTGGCAAACACATTTTGAAACACCTCCACAACAGGATCACTGTTTATGGCTAACTCTCAGAAGTGAAGAATAGTCAGCGGAGAAATCCCAGCTCAGAGCTAGCTGACTTCATCTGTCAAGCAGCCGCTTAGATTCCTTATCCTGTAACTCTTAGCTGTGTGTTATTTTTCCATATGCTATTTGTAACATGGTCCAGACTAAGTAGCTATTCATTATAGGAAGATAACCCTGTTGGATTTTAATTCAAGTTTCTCCCTGGAAAAAAAAAATCACAAAATGCCTCTCATGAAGTCATTTAGAAGAGTTACACTGATGATAAACAGGGAGGTTTACAGATGTATGTCAAATGATTCCCCCTAGTTCCTGCTAAATGTGGCAAGTCTGTGTTGTAGACATTGCTGAAGCAAATTGTAAGTGCTTAGCAGTTGAAACCCACAGGTTTCTTAATGAAAAACAGAAGGTGCCTGCTAACACGAATACTCACCAAAGCGGCCCCTTCTAGCCCTTCTAGAACACAGGAAGAAGCAAAACACAACGATGCAAAACACAGCGCAGCTTGAAGCAAAATCCCGCATAGCTCACCCATTCCTGAACACTCATTCAAATGTGATCATACCGCTTTTGCCAGCTTCACGCCATGCTCATAGGTGAGGGGCTTCTCCTTCATGTACAGGAGCCGTGCCAACGTTTTGGGGTCATCCCGGAGATCGATCTGGGACAAAGATACAGTTACTATTTTTAGGACTTATCAATTGCTTATGAGATAGTCCTCTCCCCCACCTTAACATCTTTGATGATGCTGAATGTTCTCTAAGAAACCAACGTACACACCCATGCTCTATCTTAAGAGTATGAAATGGTGTGTGTGTGTGTGTGTGTGTGTGTGTGTGTGTGTGTGTTGTGTAGTAGGATGGTCTTATACTTTCTTCTTGAAAGCATTTACCCTGGCTGCTGAGAACATCCTCCAATGATTCTGTGCTATCTGGGGTTTTGCATTTTCTCTCTTTTCTAGACTTCACAGATAGTGGACAGAGCTAACCAGATAGTCTAGTCCTTATAGTAATTAGTTATTTGACTGCAACTTTTCAAATTAAAACATTCATTATATAATATGTTTTGTGGCTTTGGATCCATTTTCTTTTCTGAATCAAATCTTGACCTTCAAAGGGATGGAGATTTGCTACCTGTGAGACCTTTTCAACAGATAACAAATGGATAGAGAGCCCTTGCAGGGGAGTTCTGGAGATGAGAGGCCAAAGGGCTTGCACAATCAAACAGCAGAATCTCTCTCAAGGGGGAACTGCTTTGAGGGCAGCAGGTAATCGACTGAACAATTTACTAAACATCGTGGTTGCTTTCAAATGTCACTGTGTATGTGTCCACACAGGGTTTGCTTTTTAAAGGGAGTCAGGGAGGTCATGCTAGGACTCTGTCGATTAGGACAGTGCATATGCAAAGTCTGGGTTTTATGTTTCCACTTGTTTTTCTATTTTCCTCAATGGTTTGACTCAGTGTCTGTCTGTTCTAAACATACTCAAGTCACCCCGAGGGGTTGAATGTCCAGCTATGTGTTTGCAGCAGGTCCAAGGCTTCTCATTATCAACAAACACTAACACTTGCAACTGAGGGTAAAAGATTTCATTTAAACAGCAAATGATTATCTTTCAGAGTAGAAATGTGGGTTTTCCACACTGTCTGTATTTAAGAGAAAAACATATCCCCATCTGGCCATATTGTTTTTAGAAAGCGTTTTTCTTTTATTTATGGTTTTAAAATTTTCTCTTTGTCAAATAGGATTCAAAATGAGGACTCAGAAGCAGGAGCACAGAAAGTAGATTCAAAACAGCCATAACACAGTCCTGAACTTTGGACACTAATGCAGATTTAAACCAGCAAATAACGAAATCCATTTAAATCACAGATACTTCAGACAGTCCTCAATCAACAAGAGGCTAATTGATGGAATGTTATCAGCTTCCATACCCTTCCTAGGCCTTGACAACTCATACATGTTGCTCTTAATATGTGTGTTTTAACTTTCTCAAGATTTGTGTGGCCAAGAAGGTAAGAAAAATGCAAAGGAGAGTTTATTCTCCTTCTCCAGCAGGGCCATCAAGGAGACCTTCCACATGCCCCATCTGAATGTAGGGTCAGTTTGACCTGCACACCTAGTTTTCTGTATTGAAACAATTGTGGCAGCCAGCTTCAACAATATCAGATAGCATGTACAATTGATGCTCCTACTCTGTGACTTCATTCAGGGATGGAGAAGTGTCTGTTAAATTATTTTTATTATTAAAAACAAGAACAAAAACAAAAACCAAGCTGCGAGGTTAAGTTTAAACACCAGATGAGAACTTTCTGCCTCATATGAAACAGCTATGCAACATTTTCAGCTACATGATCATGCACCTTCAGGACTTCTATTCAGGGACGCGATATCTCTGAGATGTTGTCCTGGTGTTCGGCAGAATACAGGGTTCACCGTCCATACAGCCCAGCCCCTACCCCTGCCCATTGCCCTCATTGTAACCTGGGTCCCGATGAGGACGTAAGGCACGTGAGGCATGCAGTCCTTCAGTTCCGGGACCCACTCCTCCTGGACGTTGTGATACGAAGCAGGGTTTACAACAGAGAAGCAGATGAGGAACACGTCGGTGTTGGGGTAGGAGAGTGGCCGCAGCTGGTTGTAGTCCTCCTGTGGGAAGAACAGAGGAAAGTTGGTACTGGATGACTGCTGTCTGTGTGGTTCTTGGGATTCATGCAGGGAAGGCTCCACAGTTGCAGCTGGTGAGCCACACCCTTCGTTGTGCACAGAGATTGCATATTTCCCATTTCAGATCAACTTAAAAAATGCAAACGGCTTTATTGAGGTACAATTTACATATCATAATGTCCACTCGCTTATTCCTCCTTTACACTCACTGTATATTAGTTTCATGTATAGCCATCATACTCCATCCCATAACTACAGTTAAGGGAGTAAGCACATTCGTCTTGTCACATAGTTACTGTTTTTACCCATGACAGCACTTAAAATCTACCTCTATAGAGGGGTATATCTCTAATATACCACTCACAACTGCTGGCTGTAATTCTTGTGTTGTGAACTGTAGCATCTAGAATTACTCATCGTCCCTAATGGTACCTTGTGCTTTGACCTATATCTTTTTACTTTCTGGTACCAGTTTACTCTGTTTCTATGTCTTCAGAACCTCACCCATTTAAACAGGACAATTAGTAGGGATGAGTGCAGTTCTCCTGGGACACTTGAATTGCATCACTTGGAACATGTATTTAAATGACTAGGTCATTGACACACTCATCGTCTTTTAAACAATTAAAAATTGTTTTCAAATTTAACATAGAGTAAGCGAAAATACAAAGCATTGCATTGTTGCCAAATGAGATACATCTGTTGAAGAAATGTGCTTGGATTTTTTTTTTTTTTTTTGTAAATTGACTCCAGTTTTTCCAGTTGTTTAGTTGACAAGGAGTTTTAGGTCGCTCAATAAAAAGTAATTGTATATTTTAATATAATTTAGTAACACTTAGCCAATAGTAATGTGTGCTAAAATGTTTCCTGCTTATATATGCATCTATATGCTATCACATATCACACACACACACACACACACACACACACCAGTACAATGGTATTACGCGAACACATATTCTGTGTATATATGTAGATGGAACACTGCATTTTGAGCATAGCTTGGCCATTCCCATCTCACCAGAGATGGGAAGCCCTCACAAGGTCAGCCCTGTTGATGAGCCCTCAGCATTTCTGTGGGCATTTACTACAGTGACTTTCATTAGGGTCACATAGGAGCTTTTAAAAAGTCCTGACACATGCTAAGCCCTACAAGTGCAAAGACCTGGGGTCATCATTTGTGACTCTTTACAACATTCTGTGTCCCCTGCCACTGGTCCTTCTACTCAGATTGTCACAACAGATCAGGGACCAGGTTGATCAGGTTTCCTCATCCTTTACCTATGATCTGTCCACAAATGATTTTGTAAAGAAGGGTGACTCATTGTAAAAAAAAAAAAAAAAAAGTGGGGTTTAGGGCCTGGAAAGATGGCCCAGTGTTTGGGCTCTTCCACAGGACCTGGGTTCAATGCCCAGAACCATCACAACAATTCCCAACAGTCTGTAACTCAAGGTCTAGGAAATACAGCGCCCTCTTCTGGCCTCCATAGGCATCGGCACATAAGTGGTGCACAGACACATGTGTAGGTAAACACTCATACATATAATAAAATAAAATTAGAATAGTTTTAAAAGTGGGGGTTTAAGTGACCCCCTCAGTGAGCAACTGCTCCAGCTCCTCCTTCTCTGGGCAAATCAGAACCTCTGGAGCATTGGGCGGGGTATGGAAGAACCCTGCACTGATTGGTCAAGAGAGCCCCTGGGGTGGAGAAAGCTGATTGTATGTAGCACCATCATGGCCACCATCAGAACTCGAGTCTTGGGACCCTCACCAAGGACCAGGCACCACTGTAAGAAGTTCATGCCCTGTCTCTTGGAGTTCTCCCGGAAGCACTAGGAAGATGCACTGTCAGCATTCACATTTCACAGAAGAGGAGGTCAAGTACCAGGGCTACCAAGTCAATGAATACCAAAAGGGAAATATTTTGTGTGCTTCCAGACCTAGCTTTTGATTTGGACTGTTATTGTCATATCAGGATTTTAGATGAATGATTAAGTGTTTTTTTTATTTCATTTAATTTTTTTATTTGCCTATTTAGAAATATGCATAGGCTAACGTGTTACTGCAGGGGTGCATTGTGTTTGGTATGGGGGGGGGCATAGGCTCCACATCACCACAAGATGGCAGCAGACACTTTATATTTAAAAATCTCAACTCCTGTTTCTCCTGCTGGTAACAACCAAACCAAAACAATCGGATTATCCTCAGAACTAGGCAAGGGAGGAGCCATAACTGGTGGTCCGGAAAGGATAGGATAGTGCTTATTTAATTCTTGATTTGCTAGCCATTGAATAAAAATGCTGCTTAGACCATGGGAAGGTCAGGCAGGTGTGAGATGTGTTCCTTTGCTCTCCTGGCAGAGTAGCTCTTGTCGTCCAGCTCAGGGATTCCTGGTGGCATGAGCTTCGGGATTCACAGTGCTCTGTGTTCCTTTTGTTTGTTTGTTTGTTTTTTCCCCCCCTGTGGGAACTTCAGTCCTGCTGTGTAATTCCACTATGATTACTCACTGGACATGTGGCTTCTGTCAAGGATGCTGCATGAACTGTATTAGGTGATTAAGAACTGGACATCAAGTCAGGGAAAGAGAATGAAAATACACAAAATAATTCCTTGTATGTGAACTGAAACAGAAGTTTCTCTGCCTCGTCTAGTTATTCTGGGAAGGCAGAGTATTTACCTTCCAGTGTCAAGTCTGGAAGATCCCCAGACCTGAGTTAGTCTAGTAATTTCCAAAGGACGGTCCTCAGACCAGCAGGACAGGCATCTGTTGAGAGCTCCTTCAGACTATACACTCCCAGGTGACCAAAGCTTAAACACATGGCTCTGTCACTCCGACACAGTTCTGATGCAGCTCAAGTTTTCTGGGACTTGGGTTACCTTTCTTCTTCTCCCTTCCACCAGCCACACAGCTCTCAGACTGGGACATCCAATAGATTTCAACAGGACGATAGAGAAAAATATCTTTCAAAGAAGGTTTATTTATACCTGGCTGGCAGGAGCCTTCCACTCTTGGGTGGCTGCAGCTTGGAACTATAGCAGAAGTCCAGAATTAACTGAAAGTGAGGAGGGTGAGTGTTTGAGCTCATACCCGCTGATGGCTGATGGCTTACAGGCGTTTTGTGATGAAGCACACTTGGACTGTAGGGCTATGGTCACACGCGAAGATTATGTCAATCACCCATGGGGAAGATCTAAACGGACCTTATGGCGTTGAGGCACCTTGAATGCTAAAAAATGACTGGACGACAGACACTTATGTGCTTCTTGAAGAGACAGTGTTTTCATCTATAAAAGCCACTAGACAGTGCTTTGGATGGCTAAGCTGGACACAAGGGGACTTGGGTTAGGGTGGAGCAGGCAGGGGTTTGGGACTGTGTAGGTTTTTGAGTACTTACTGCCCATTGCTCCCCAAAGGCAAGCAAGGGTTCATACAGAGGTGAGTCTGTCAAGTGTGGCCACTGTAGATGAATATTTCATCAGCACAGAATGGCCAATCATCCACCCCAAAATACGTTCATAAGCGGCTTTGTCACGAAGGGACAGTGGTGGTGGAACCGGGAAGTCATTAGTTCTCCTTGCATTTGGATCACTGGGGACTCATTGCCCAGTGGAGCTGCGCCCAGCCACAGGTCCGGAGTGAAGTCTAGAATGCGCATGTCTGATAAGTGCCCAGGGGCTGCTCTCTGTAGCAAGGAGAACAGCCTTGAGCTTGCCACTTGCCTCAGACCCACAAGAGGCTGGGAATAGAATTCTGCTTTCTTTGCTCTGTGAGCTTCTTGACATTTATCCCAGGGTTGTCAGCAACAGCCTTGCTTTTATACTCTCTCCCCGCAAGTCAAGCTTGACTAGGAAAGCAAGGTGGGAAGTCAGGATGTTGCCCAAGAGCATGACGGGTGGAGAGTAAGTCAACGGTTTCAAATCCCTACCTCGCTTGTCACTGCGACTTGGGTGTAGTTTGCGGTGAGTTCTCTTTGCCCCAGTTTCTTTGTAAAGTGTGAAATGCTCATACATTGTGAGAGAGACTACACTGCTGTAATGTATATGAATCCCTGAAATGGTCCTTCGGTTATAGTGAGAACGTTAATGATGGAGCTTATCCCGCATCGCATCCAAAGCCAACAGCAGCTGCAGTTCCTGGAACCCTTCCCCCCCCCCCCCCCTGCCCCTTCCCCTGCCCTTGTGCTCACTGAATATCCAAGATGACTCTGAACTTCGCTTTTCTGAACTAAGCAGTAATGAGGTTCAAATATTTGTGTACCGTGATTCGTCAGCGTTCTTCACCTCCATTTTTTTTTTTTTTTCCTGAGTAGGGCAAAGGTAAGAATGGGTCCTGAAGTTACTTTTACCAATAGCCAGTCACACCGGCAGCCTTCTCCAGACAGCACACTTCTAGAAACCACGCAGAGATTCGTGGGGTGAGAAAGTTTGAGTTGCTTATTGTGCAGAAAACATTTATTCTGAGGTTTTAGGCAAACTTTCCACGGAGTGTCGGTGCCAGACCCTGTACTCCAGATGGCCCTGCTGGCTCAGTCAATAGCAAAGAGGAAGTCCCATGTGCTTCCCAGTGGATCTGGGGTTGCCATTAATGAGCCCCAGCTGCACTTAACTCCTGCCCACTCAATGCTTCTGAAGAAGAAGCGGGGGTGGTGGGGTGGGGTGGGGGGGTGGGGGGAGGTTCAGATATCAGGTCCCGGTGAAGGTGTTTGGCTGCAGCCCTGAGCCAGTGTGGTCTTCCAGCTCCCATAGTCATTGGTGGTGGCTGAGCTGCTGTGGGCTGTGGTTTGGCAGTGAGAGACACCATCCCATACTCACACAGCGGGTGTGCAGGCTGCCTCAAGTCTTGACGGGCTCATGTGCAGGGGACTCAGGCTCACTCTCTGATGAGAAACTAGTGCCTGATTAGACAAACAGGTCCTTAGCTCCCGACCCCAGGGTACACTCATTCTTCCAGGCAGTGATGCTGACAACCCCTTCTGTTAGTGCTTGCTTGCCTTTGAAATACATCCACCCTGAGTGTGGTTGGAGGGCTGGCTTTGCTCATGTCCGATGTCTCACACCATGGCTGATCCACTGTAGACTCAGAGGACACCTGGCTCTGAGCATGGGCCTAGGACACCCCAGGTCGTGAGTGCTCAGGCTTAGCACCATGCTTTCCCCTTTATCTCTCATGGCACTCACCAAACAAGCCAGCTGGGCATGGTGTACATCTTAGAGCTCAGTGTCTCTTCCTGTTTCGGAATCAGAAATCCGATCACAGGAGCCACTTTCATAACTATGAACAATCCTTCACAAGGAGTATTTGTCCCACAGGTGAATTGGTCTGACTTGAAGAGACCATGCCGGAGGACTGGCCTTATTGCTTGCCTGGCGATCTGAGGGCTAAATCTAAATGCTTTACTAACCTAATGTTTGACTTTTTTTCTGGTGGCTTTTTTTTTTTTTTCCAAGTCAGGGTTTCTCTGTGGAGCTCTGGCTGGCCTGGAACTTGTTCTGTAGAGCTGACTGGCCTCAACTTTAGAGATCCGCCTGCCTCTGCCTCCCGAGTGCTGGGATCAAAGGCGTGTGCCACCACTGCCTGTTCCTAGTGTATGGCATTCCATCTGATTGAATGGTGAAGATTGTTTCCTTCAAAGGGCTCTACTCAAAGCCCAAATGATAGTTTGTCTCAGGGGTCTGGGGAGGAGGCTACTTTCCATGTGCTGGCAGCATATATATGTGGCTTCATTAAAAACCATCTTTATCTGTGAGTTCAAGGCCAGCCTGGTCTACTGAGCCAGGTCTAGGACAGCCAAGGCTACCAAAGACACGCTGTCTCCAGAAATCAGCAAAACAAAACAAAACCACTTTCAGCAAAAGCTTAGCTGGGCTGTGAAATGGCGAGGAGAGTCTTGAGTCTGTCTTTACAGCAGCCACATTGGGGGCCGGAAGGTAGAGGAAAGCTGGTTAAACAGTTTTGCTCGGGGTTGCCTTCTCACCTGACCTTCCAGAATACATTTGCTTCTTGAGTTGTCCCTCAATCCCTCCCCCCCAATCTGCAGTTTCTCAGGATAGGGACTTACTCCCTTTGTGCATTTGTGGTTCTGGGATTATCAATTCGCTCTGAGATCATTTCTCTTTCCTTATTTAGTAATAGACGCCATGGGTAATTTTTAATTAGTTGTAGGTGTTCTTCAGCCTTGAAACTTCAGGACCATTTGCTAATATCACCAAAGGGGAGACTATCCTACTTAGAATGGAGACTGGAACTTTTGGGACATTTATTCTAGGATGGCTGTTCTTGATTGTCAACTTGACCACATCTGGAATTAACTAAAACCCAAGTGGCTGGGTACACCTGTGAGGGATTTCTCTTAATTAAGTCATTTGAAATGGGAAGACCCACTTTTAACCTGGATCTTTTGAGGTGGGAAGACCCAGCTTTAATCTGGGCCACACCTTCTGGTAACAGCCTAGATAAAGGACATGGAAGAAGGAAGTTTCATCTCTGCCTGCTTGCCCTCACTCTCGCTAACAAGTCCATTCCTTCTTCAGGAATTTGGCATATAATGAATAGCAGCTGAGACATCTAGCCTCACGGACTGAACAACTACTGGATTCTTGGACCTTCTGTTGGTAGACAACCATTGTTGGACTAGCTGGACCACAGCCTGTAAGTCATCCTATTAAATCCCATATATATATATATATATATATATATATATATATATATATATTCATTATATCTGTTCAGTTCCTTTAAAAATGAAATGAAATTTGTTGTAAAGTTTTTTTTTGGCTAATTTATAGATGTAGTTATTTTGTTGGAAACATGCCTCAGCCAGTAAAGACTTAAATTCATTGATTTGGAGCTGGGGTACAAGGGCCTGCATTTGTTTCTGTTGTGTTTTTGAGACAAGGTCTCATGTAGCCCAGGGTGGCCTTGCATTTCCTATGTAGGTGAGGGTGACTTTGAACTCCTGATCCTGCTGCCTCCGTTTCCCAAGAAGAATCTGCATTTCTAAGACGCTACATGGACAAGCAATGCTGCTGGTCAGTGGACAGCACTTTGGTGACAATTTGAGAGCAGTGGCTCTCAAAATATGCTGTCCAAAGCAGCAGCAATGGAAACCTATCATAAGTGCAAATTCTTGGGACCTATCCTAGACTTGTAGAATGGGAAACTGTAGAGTGGAGCCTTATGGGTGATTTTTAATAAGCTCTGGGTGGTTCTGGTGCATGCTCAAGTTTGATAATCATTGTCCCAGAACACAAATGACAGTTTATCCTTTACTATAACATGTCCCTGTATTTAAAATCTTTCACTGCTGAATGGTCTCCCTCGGGTCTTGACTCAACCCTTTTTGATTAATTACTCCAGTCCTTTCAGGGTTTCTCGAAATTATCTTTTAAACTTCTTAATCATAGAATCTGAGGCCCAGAAGGAACTTTCAGATATGCTCTGATTTCCTTTCTCCATGCTTCACTCTCCCCTGTGAGCCTTGTCTATCCAGAGATTTCGAAATAAGTGAAGGAAAGCCTTAAGGTAAAAGTTAAGTTGAAGAAACAGGTTGAATGTACTTGTTACCATATTTTACAGCATCTGTTGACCCTGTGTCAGAGGTTTAGGTAACCCTACTTAGCTTCAATTTGAAGTTTAAGGATATTTTTACAATATATTATCACTTCCACTCTCACGTGTATTTTTTTTTTAAGGATAGAGTAATGGGAAATAATAATTCAACTCTACAAGAGCTTTTAAACAGTTTTATTGGATGTAGAATGAAATAGAGATCAAGGGATATGCTGTTGAGACAATTAATACATAGGAACAAACAATTGCTGTGGATCACTGCATAAGTGTGGGGAGAGCTGAATGGGCAGGAGCTTCCAGAATTTTCTGAGACGGCAAGGGGGGCAGAGCAGTTTCAGAGTGTGAAAGAATCCTTGCTGTATTGAGCTTTGCAAACTGGATTGTATGGACTTTACATACTGTGAGGTTATGATGAATAGCAACACCCCACTGACTATGCGACTGAGTTAGAGTGGGCAATTCCAGCCCTTGAGTCCTTGTGCTACATTTTGTTGTATCAGAGGACACAAACTGACTTTTCCATTTGAGTAGCAAGGGGCATTTTTTTTCTCTTGCCATGCTTCTCTTTCCTGATATTCATGGGAGAGATCACCCTACTCCTTAGTTTTGACAGTGGTTTTCCAAGTCATCTGGCCACAAGTAGAATCTGAAGGGTCCTGGAAAGGAGCCTTGGGTCTGATGCTAGACTATCCAGGCTCTGTGCTCTGGCTGTAAAACAACAGCTTTGATGTCCCACGTACACTTGCTGGTGGTCCTTACACATGCACATTGAAAGCCTTGAAGAGATTCCATTTATTTATTTTCTAGTATAGAGCTTTCAAGTTGAGCAAAATGACATCTCTCCAGATAATTGTGAGAAAAGGCCTTGACAAATGCATAGCTATTAACAATTACCAAGACACTCACAGTGGGAAATACCCGGTCAAATATTCACTCCAAAGGACTTAAGCTGTATAAATTTGGACTGACTGAACAACCCGCTGATTTTGACCTAAATAAATGATTCAAGACATATGGTAACACTCTTCTATCCAAGAAATTAGGCCACAGCCATCAATGGCTCATTCGCATCCCTTCCTCCACAGGGCGAACTCCTAACACTGGATGTTTTCCACAGCTCAGTGTGAGGGGCAGGGAAAGGCAGTCACCCAGTATTTCTACCCAAGGACAGCCATGCGCAGGTTCACTGTTGGGGATTCAAGTTCATGCCCTTCCATTCTCAAACCCAAAGAGACACTTGTGACAGAATGAGAGCATTTGGGAAAACTTAGAAAATTTAGTCAGTTTTCAGTAGTTTGGGGTTGACCTTCATCGTTGGGACACATCTAGACTCATTTTTCTTTCAGTCTTTAATCCATCATGTCTCCCATCTCTTTTTGAGCCTTTTCACAGCTCGATAGGTAAACTAGGTAAATAAAATACAGGATGGACAAAGAAAACAGCATGAGGAAAAGTGTAAAACTATAATTTAGAAAACAGACCCATGTATCTTGGATATGGAGCAGGCTTGGGTTGGAGACAATTGAAATTCTTGGCTAGAAATGTTATTTTGAGTATTGATGTTTTTTTTTAATGTTGGACATATCAGTAGTATCTTGGACAGTGACTTAGGTTTTTGTAGTTTTATATATACATAAAAATATTTTAAAGTTAAGAATGTGCATTTGGTTGACATTTGGGTAGAATATACATGGGCCCCAAATGATTAGAATGGGAAATAGCTGTGCTTTAGCTCCTGAATGATGAGTCAAAGGGACCATTCTTTCTCCTACTCCCCTTCCCCAACCCTTAATGAATCAAGTCAGTGAGATCATACCTGTCCTGCGGTGTCGTACAGTCCAAGCAAGTGCTGCTTGCCTCCCACTGTCACAGTAACTAGGGGAGAAGAGAAGAGAATTCATAAATATAGGCTTCAATCGGTAGAATGTCTCATGCCAGCATCTCTCTGGGTAGGGAGGATGAGCATATGTCTCATTGGTGTATATTCTAAAGCAAGTTGACAGCATAGTTTCCAAATGAAAGAGAACCTTGGACTGCAGTGACAGCAGATGGTCTGAGCCAACTCCAAATCTCTCAATGGAGATGGTTATTTTTGGTGTTACTCGAGTACTTTGTAGGCTGTTTGGTGACCTTTACTGGGATCTACAATATAAAGCTCCGGAAGAAAAGGGATGCTAAGTCCCTTTCAGGATTTACTTCTAAGCTACCTTTCAGGATACAGAATCAGGTAATTAGCCATTAGAGATCTCTGTGTTCTTGGGCTGAGGAGACACCCACTGAGCTACCATGGAGATTTGACTTAGGATTCTCAGCACCTATGGAAAAGGCCAGGTGTCTGTACCTGGCCTCACATGTACCCATGTGAGCATCTGTACAAGGGGACAGGGAAGGGACAGATATAGGCAGATCTCTGGAGTTCACTGGCCAGACAGTTGAGACAATTGGTAACCTCTAGCTTTAGTAAGAGACATTGTCTCCAAAGATAAACTGGAGTCACCAAGGGCTGACTACATATACTACATATACATACCTGACCATAAACCATATATACACCTGACCATATATCATATATATATATATATACATGTGTGTATACATATGTGACCATATACTACATATGCACACCTAACCATAAACTATATACACAGTTGACCACACACTACATATACACTCCTGACCATACACTACATATACACATATGCACACCTAACCATAAACTATATACACAGCTGACCAACACAACATATACACACCTGACTATATACTATGTATACATCCTTGACCATACTCTACATATATACACCTGACCATATATTACATTACACTACATACACATGTGTGCATGTGTGCACACGTGTGTACACACACACACACACACACACACACACACACACACACTGTTTTTATCTGACTTTGAGATGTTAATAAAACCCAGGTGCTGTCTGGGCATGTGGTTTTAGGTATGTGGTTTCACATACCTACTGGGTTAGATGTACCCAGCAGGCTTGATGCCTTGCCAAGAAATTGTGCAAAGTAATGTGGGAATACCAGCCGTTCTGCACATGTCTGAGAATGACACAGTCTCAAGAGAAAGTGGGGTTGATCCCCTCTGCTGTCAGCTGCACAGGAAATGAAGGGAGACTGAATGGTGACCTTTTAGAGCTGGGTGGCTAATATGTCAGCCTCATTCCTAGCCAGCTGCTCAGTGTTGATGGCTTGGTGCTGCTTTTTACTTTGATTTATTTTCAGGTTGATGGGGATCATGTATGTAAAAACATTTCCCAATGCCACTCTTGGGAAAGCACTTGTTTAAAAGGCATAGTCTCCCCAGATACTGGGGACTGTTTTTCTAATCCACTCAGATCCACATGTGTTCAGTTTCATAACATGACCACAGCCAGATGTGCTTCTAAACGTGTGTTTTTAAACATAAAACTCAGCTCTATGAAATCCTCACTTGCAAAACTGGCTGACAGGCAGGGTGGGGCACTTAAACATTTTTACTTCTGTCTATAAGCCAGGCTAGCAATGGAAATAGAGGTGCCTAGAGCTCTTTGTCCTGTTTTATTTCCTTCTTTGGGCCCATTGGCAGAAGAGAGCTTGAGCTGATGCCCCTGAAATTGGCCAAAATGGTTTCCTTAATGACCAATTGGTTACCTAGTCATGGATCAAGAATGAATGGAAGAAATCCAGCTATTACAACATGGAATTTCCTGCCTTTAGTGAGCTGGGCACATGGAGGTCAGGGCTGCTGTTCATGGGATCCTGAGCACTGCTCTGTGACCCATAGACCCAGGGCCACTAGAAGCTGAGCCAGTAGGTGGCAAGCTCTAGAAGCTGAGCCATCATTTGCACTGAAAACTGCAAATATCCCTAAGCAGTGGCTGTGACCTTTGTCACTGGTGTTTTGCAGGCCCAGCTTTCATTGCCCCCTTTTTCTATTGAACCATTCCCTTCAGCCTTCTTCCCTTCAGGCCACACCCTTTACTCCCTGGCTGCTGGAATTCCAGGCCACTTTACCAGGCCTGAGACAAGTGTGAGCAAGAAAGGATGAAACAGGAACTGAGAGTCCGCATAGTGTACTCTTCCCTCTGCTTGTCTTTCTCTCCTCCGGTGATCTCTGGGCTACCTGGACTGAGCTCAGTACTGGAAACAGACAGAGCAGATGCAGATGCACCTGTCCAAAACAAGTGAAAGGCGTAGCCATGTGCAGTGTAGCGTACACTATGCCTGGGTAACAGAGGGCTGGGGGCACGGCTGAGTGTGCATGCATTGGAACACTCTGCTGGCATTTGCTCAGAGAAGGCTTTCTTGGGGAGATGTCTAAGTTGAGTCTACAAAGATGGCCCTGAGTTTTCCATGCTGTTGTGGCTCTCTTACACAGCCTTTACTTTGAAGGCTTTTCAAGCTCTTAAAGTATGTTGGCTAAGGAAATAGAAAGGAAAAGAATGAAGAGAATATCCTTGGGTTAAGGGAGACGGTGGTATAGGATAGGGGAGGATAGATACCATTGTTGGTGTGGAAATGGGGTGAATTTTAAGCATTCAGCAGTGCTTGTTCTACTAGCCATTCAGGAGGGTTGTTAGAAAAAGGACTTAGAGCTTGTGTCTCTATCTTTGAGAGTTGCTTTAGTCCCTCTTCCTTGTTTTTGCTAGAGGACATCAAGAAACATTAGAGACAGAGGCCAGCATCAGTTGTACAAGACATGGCTTCACAAATCCTAGACCAGCAGTGGATGTCTTATTGCTTGCCAACCTGTGTCCCATGAGGCTCTACAAGCTGGCAAGGAATTAGTCACAACTCCATGGAAGGAAGGTGCTGCCACCAAGAGCTAATCATCCATGAAATGAGGTCACAGCATGGTTGCTCACCCCAGGCCACTCTGCCTTTGATTCCCACCATTGCTTTTCATCACTGGAGTGACCCTGGAGATATCATCTAGCACCCCAAGTCCCGTCTTTCTTTTCTGTTAAAAATGGAATCCATATGGTAGACGGAGGGAACTGACTACCACAGATTGTCTTCTGACTTCCATGTATGTACTGTAGCATAATCCTCTCCTGCCACAAATAAATGTAACAAGAATATTCACAAAATGGGTTCATAGAATATTTGCGAGAAGGCGTGATGAGGAAATATCTAATGCACGTCCTTGTTCACAGTAGGTGCTGAATGGATGCATCCAACAAGTGTATATTTAGTCCATTCTGAGGACAGGGGGCAGTCTGTCTTTCTCTCTACCAAGTAGCCAGTGCATAAGAACTGACACATAATGGGAATCTTAACTGTAAGCTGCTAGTTACTTTCCACCATAAATGATAGCTGTTTAAATCTGCCTTATGTTTTCACTGAGGACAGAGTCCCCATGCCCAGCACAGATTCTGCCACCTGAATATGTTGAATACTTGGGACAGAAACTGCACAGGGTCCTTGGGTTTGTGCAAGGATATGGCTCGATCTTCCCTGGCTAACCACTGACCACAAAGCTACTAGGACAGCCATATCCAGGTTGTCTTCCAGAGCACCTTCTATTCTGGGAGTTTTTAGAGTTGTTTTTCTGAACTGGTTCTCTCAAGAAAGTGTGAAAAGTTGACCACAATCTGTTAAGTGTAGAAACAGAAGACTTTCCTGAAACCTATTAAACTCTTTGCTTCCTTGTGTTGGTTCTGGGGTGAACTGGAGTGAGTGATTCCTTTCTTGAGGTGTGGAAGCCAGGATACAAGTTTGCATTCTTGAGCATCATTAATTTACAGCCCACCCGGGCAGAACACAGGCCTCTTTCCCTCTGTAATTTACTGTCTTCAAGTTGTGTCATTTGCCAATGCCTAAGTCCTCTGACCATCAGTCCAAGCCATGAGTGGAGTGATGGAGTAAGGGACTGGGTGCAAAACCTCTTCCTTGATGTGTGGAAGCTGTCTCAGTGGCTCAAAGTAGTCTTCCGGGGTTCAGTGTGATGAAGCAAGGTGAGCTCCACGGATTCTAACAGTGGAAACGTCAGCTCAGGGGAAGTTCCCAGGGTGCAGTTGACGACCCATGTCACTTAGGTCTAGGGTACTCTCTCAGTGTTTGACTAAAGCCTGACTGTGTGGTGTGGGTTTAGAACCACAGGAGTGCTGTTTTTGGAGGAAGAAATACTAACTTTTAGATTCAGTAAGAAGCAGAATTTTAAGACTGTTAAACAAGTGGCTCTCTGTTCATGTCAAAGATTTATGAACCTATGAACAGGTGAGCCAGGGAAATGGCAACTCATGCCCAAGGACCACATTGAGGAGCAGCAGTCAGGCTGAGGCAGGAGGACCAAGTGCTAGTCTGTGCTATGCAGCAAGTCCTTGGCAAAACAAAACAAAACAAAAAAACAAACAACCCCCCCAAAAAAACCCAAAAAACAGAACAACCAAAAGAAAACATAAAAAACAGCCCTATCCATTCAAAAGGCTGCTTGAGCATGTTCAACACCTATCCCAAGCTTCCATTTTACTAAGGGGCAAGTTCAGAGGCATCAGCCATGAAATCTCTCCAAATATCTGTTAGAGAGCAGTTAGTATGAAGCTGGACACAAACACTGGAGGCAGATTCCTTTGTGTATGTATGGGTATTTATGTATGTATGGAGTGTGTGTGTGGGGGCTGTGTTTGCATGTGTGTGTGTGTATGTATGTGTGGCATGTGTCTGTATATGTTTGTGGTGTGTATGTGTGGTATCTATGTGTGGGATGTGTATGTGGTGTGTGTATGTGGTATGTGTGTGTATGTGTGTGAGTGTGAGAGTGGTGTGTGTGTGTGTATGTGTATATGTATGTGTGGCATGTGTCTGTGTATGTTTGTGGTGTGTATGTGTGGGATGTGTATGTGTGTGGTGTGTGTTATGTATGTGAT